ATTAATAGCATCAAAATGGTAGATGTCTCGTAAATCGCGCAAAACTCAGCAAGTGCCAACGTTTCTTATCATTATATAAAAAGGTCCAAACTGTGCGCTATATACCCAATATAGAAAACCCGTAACGCATATGCCGTAAATCTGTGCCCTTTTGTGGCAACGAGTGCAGCACTACATCTACGCGCGTATGTCTGGCATTCATGTTCAGTGATGTAATCGTATGGCACGGAAAGCATGCGTTGAGTGCATGCAATGGACAGACATATGCATTGAATGTGTTTTGTGTGCAATAGTCATACACTTCTCACTTGAAAATGAGTTTCGCTATTAAAACGCATTTTCATTCAAATCATAACCAATTAAACCAATTGTTAGCCAATTGTATGGCAATTGCGAGCCATATATGCAGTATATCTTGATTTTAGTCAATACTATATATATAGGCGTCTAATATAGTAGTAAATCAATTGTATATCAAATATATTTCATTAATTGTAAAAATGCCTAAAAATTCAAACACAAGGCCTAAGAAAAAAGGTATGAGTTTTGCCTTTGTTTTCGTGAGTCCCATGCCTTTCCCCTACCGTTCCCGTCAACTACCAGTCCTTTGCCATACTTTGTGACGGATTTTGATTTATATTTTGTGTTTTCATTTGTTTTTTAACTTTTGTTTTCATTTATTTCGTAAACATTTCATTTGAATTGAATGCAAAAACTGTGTATTTGTTTGGTCTATGAATGGGAAGCCATTGCTGTTTATGCCATATGTTTGCCATTCATTAGCCATTGATTATCACTTAATTATCATAGCATTGGACCAATTGGTGGCCAATCACTGGTTTTGCATTTGATTCAACAATTAAGATAAATGTCGACAATATTTGATACAAAATTTTAACATTTATTTCTGCCATTTAATTATCACTTAATCTGTATCTTACGTCTTGTAATCTGTTTACCACTCACTTGAATGCCAAACAACTAATCCATTGGTGTCTGTATTGAACCCATTGATGACATCTTAGGCCAAAGCAATGGCAATCATCGCAAAGAAGACATCCGATCGGTCCTCAGCGGTGATGATTGCGATTCAGTGATCGCTGACAACGTTTCGGTCACGTCTTACAACTCTTCGGCCAAATGGGAGGCCGGAAGCGATGACCTGAACGTCGGCGGAGCCGCCGATGACTGCAATAACGAAGACAACGGCTGTTATATCGACGACTTCGAGGGCAAACTCTTGGAAGCGATCGATCAGACGTCTGGAAAGTCGGCCAAAACGAGACAAATGGGTGTCGAAGCCATTCGCAAGGCATTGATCACCAGATTCTGCTTCGACTTCATTATCGATAGGTTTGTGTCCATCAATGCGTGCCACCAATGGATCCATTGATTGATTGTGTGGTTAATGTCTGCAGGAAAGTGACGATTGGAGACCTATTGGAGCACTCAGTCAAACGAAAGGGTGAAGAGTTGGGTTCTGCAGCCATATTGTCGTCCGTTGTCTTCATAACTCTGGGCGCCAGCGATGAGTCGGACGCCATGTTTGCCGATGTTGAGAGCCATTTGATCGCTGCGGTGACCGACCCGTCGGTGGCGCCGGCCGTTAGGTCCAAATGCGCGGCCGCTTTGGGGTAATGGAGTCATTGATGATCTCATATATGACTCATTTTGCGGATTATTTACTAATTGTGTGTTTTGTGGCCACAGTTTGGGATACTTTATAACAAACAACGGATTGGATTCAATCGATTCAGTGATGGCTGTGTTTCAGTCGATATTTGGCGCCTCATTCCTGAAGGGTAACGGCGCTATACCCACACATACGGCTGAGATATCGTCACTACACGCCAGCGCACTCTACTCGTGGACACTCCTACTGACCCTCTATGAGCCCTCAGCCGCCCTACGATTGGCCGAAAGTATGTCGAAGAAGATCACTGAACTGTTGGACTCACCGGATGTGGACCTGAGGATAGCCGCCGGCG